CAGTCGGTAGCGACTGTGGGAGCGGACGTAAACTAACCAGGATGGTACCCAGGCTACTGAGACAAGACTGTTAGGTTTAAACCACACACACACACACCGGGAAGGACCCCTGCTCTTTCTATAAGTGTGGTGATGTCTTTAACGTGCTCAATGAGTGGCTCCCCTCCAGAGTTATGCCAAATCCGAGAGGACGTCCCTAACCAGAGCTAGCTTCTCACTCACAGTCAGGTGGGAGGAATAGGAGCTACGTGCCTTTCTCAAGGTCACAACAGAAACGTTTCTCTTCGTGTTGTCGATTCATATTTGACAGGCAATATATCAATGGCATTACACAAGGTCCTTCTCTTATATTCCTCCTTCTTTTGACTAGCTTTCTCCTACAATGACTGTAATATACCTCCAGTCTACAGTATGTATCACCTTGAATTTATTTTATTTTTTTAAACTACATTCCAGCAAAATGAAATTCATCAGGACGACAACCCTATTACTGTGCCTCGTAGGGCCAGTGCTTGGCGGTAAGTGGGTTCATCTGCATATGTTATATAAATCTTTTTTTTACATTCTCCAGTATTCTACAAATATACATCGAACTACTTTTGTTGAGTTTGACTTCTTCTGAGCTTGACTTGAGTTTGATTTGAGTTTGAGGCAATGGAAGGAAAATTTACCCACTTCTTCTACAATATGTGGGTTCCTTGATTTTGATAGTAGAATTGTTATTATCAGGAATAGTGAGAAAGCAATGCGAAAGGACGTACAGAAAAAAAAGAATGTGATTATGATCATGAAGAAAAGCACCTGATTTTGGATCCCCTGATTGCCTTCGGAATGTAGATAGCAATTGTTGACCTGGACAAGACATTTTCATTACAGCATTGAACATTATTTTCTCCATCCTTCAGTGCAATGCGGCGGAATAGTCAGCGGAAGTTCTGGCCAGATCCGATATATAGTGTCACCAGGCGAGATGGACTGTGAGTGGAAGATCATCGCCCCGACTGGAAAGGTCCTACAGTTGAAGGTTGAATACTTTCAACTGGGGGGAAACGGCCTCCTCGAGATATTCGACTTCTGCCCTTACGGACACCGCGTCCAGAGTCTTTCAGGAACTGTCGAGCCCTCGCTGGTCATCACCACCACCGCCAATGAGGCATTCCTGAAATTCACCGCGAATGGGCTACAGTCTACGCATGGTTTCAACATCAGCTACCAAGGTATCTATTGCTGTTGTTCTGTTTGATAAAGTGTCTTTTCTTCTTTTAGGTTTGCGTAAAACACAGTTGACATGGATATTGACTTTTTTCAGAGACAAAGCTATTTCTGTAAAACATGACCATTCCATTCTACGTGTTTATTTCAGCCATTCTGCCTCCACATCTTCAGCAGAACAACCAAGGAAACACCAGAGAGAGGAGAGCGATTGCAGGAGTTTTAACGGTATGATACACCGAATCTGTGTTTTCGGGTATTCATGACTGGGACAAATATATAAAACTAGTGTTCATTAGAGTATCAGTTATTGTCGCCAGCTCAGAATAGAAGGGATAAAAAAGAAAGTGATAATGATTGCGCTGCAATTGTACATTTTTTGTAGGGCTTCGCTAGTTTTGTGAAAATTCTCTTCACTGTCTGGAATGTTATTGACGGCCATCAGGCAGATCAACAACAACAACAACTCACTGACACGTTGAACCTCCTTGAGAATAAGATTGACGGTATCCATGAGAAAATACAAGAGCAAGGCGTCATGAATGTCTTCCGTCACAAGAAGGAACTAGACGCTCAACGGTTTGCTGCATCGGAGCAAAGGATCAATAACATGCGGGACACGTTTTTCACCCGACTCTGGATAATAGATAACGGAACACTGGAGCCCGGGAACCTCGCGCAGGAGTGGACGCAAACTGTGTTGAGTCAGGACTCAGAAGGCATGAACCAGGTACCATAGCATTACTACTTGTCAATGATGGTTGAACTTATGGCAAGCCAAAAAAATCGATATTAAAGTTGTAAAAAACAGAATACTATGTATGTTGTATCTTATTGTCAAATGCTCAACATTGTAAGTCGTTCGTCACTTGTCATTCATAGGCCCAGAACAACATGCGCAACATGGTGGTTGGAAGTCCGACGGTGTTTGGCGGGACGTCACTCCTTGAAACATTGGACGCCGAGCTGAGGAGGGTAAAGGATCCGAATTCCTTGGAGAAGGTAGATTTTTGTTGAACCGAAATCTCTCTATCTCGAAAGATGATAGAAGAACTCTAGAACTGGTTTAGACATATAGTAAGGTTGACACATGTTACATTGTATTACACTCATAGATACATTAGATTCAGTAGAAATAGGATGAGTAATTGGCCTGTAGTAAGGGTAACAACCCCCTTACTGGGTGGAAAACGAACTCTATGGTGCCCAAACTCCTTGATGAATTTTAAAATTTTAACACACGTTGTTAGTCTTTTAGAGACTAGATACGTTGATTCATTTTGGCTCTATTGCCATATGAGTAAAAGAAATATTACTACAGATTTAAGGCTCCCAAGTCCACGAGAAAATTATTGGTCATTGCAGGTTTTCTGTGTGTCATTATCGGGCTTAGAACCATATTCTAACTATGACTTTTCTTTTAATTAATTTCATTCAGCTGAAGACTATCTCTGAATACACCATGAACCTGCAAGTCTCTGGGTACTTTCTTTGGATCCTCGCGCTGAAGCAGAAAAATGACATGGACCAGGCTGACGAAGTTATGAAAAGAGCGCTCAACAAGCTGAGTGAACAACGCTGCTTCATTGCTCGTTTCTTCTACGGTGATTGAATAAGTTTGTTATTAATGCTAAATGTACACTTCAAACTAGAGAGCAAGCAAATGCAGACTGATACCTTCACATGGTATAGCCTGAATTCTTACTCAAAAATTTAATGCACAATAGTTGCACAACCATTAAGCCCCCTGGTTACATGATGAATAGATAACCAGTAACCATCAGTGGTGATCGCCGGTACAGTGTCTCCTGTAGGTCAATGGCCCGCGTTGTTTGGAACGGAATAAAAGAAGACAGCGATCCACCAAAACAATATATTCCCCATCTGTGAAGGTAAACTGTTCATAAGACGGAACAAATTTATACCCTGACATGAAAATTTATGTATTTATTTATTTTATTTTATTTATTCTTTGCTTCAGGCCAGAGGCCTATATAAAATAGGGACAATACATAAACACGTACAAATACACAAATCACATACAGATGTTTAAAATATGCGACCAGAAAATGAATTGACTGTGAGTAATTCAAATATATTGCAATATAACTAAAAAACATGCCTGCACTGACATTGTGTTTTTGTATCAAATAGAGTGGCCGACAGGCACGTACGGCCTCCCTAAGGCATCCAGTGGATGTCCTGCCGGCTTCAGGGAGGGTCAGTACGAGTTCAGGGGACACGACAGCAGTTTCAGCTGGGGAAATGAAGCGCATTTTGCTGGAAGTCTCTCCAACAGCACAGTGAAGCAGGGGGTCTGCATGAAGGTTGTTTATGTTTAATTTCATTTATTTTGTCCCAGGAAATACATACTATATATATTATATCACATCAATAATGCAAATGCATCACATCAATAATGCAATCAATAATATATCACATTAATTTTCCAGCACTTCAAATAAATCCAATTGCAAGTTTGAACTTTATAATCTATATTCGTTGAGTTTATTTGTATAGTATATACAAGTTTAGTATATACAAGTATAGTACAAGTTTTTTTTCGTCTAGAATGAAATCTTATCTATGTTGAAAAAAGGTAAAGCTACAGCTTTAAAGGTAAACCTCTTTCAACTCTTTGTTTTCCAGACGACTTCCAGTGGCAACGAGGGCAACTGGCCCAAAGGGAGCTACTGCATCTTCAAGTATGGGAACTGCCCAGTAGGTACGTACTTGTATCAGAAGGTCTTTATCATCATACTTTGCAAACTTTATCATTCCTGGTACAATTTTTTGACACCCCGATGGGCATGGTTCCGATGGAAATTCCGGGATCGAGACACGGTAGTAACATTTTAGCTTCTTTCTCTCTTTTGTCATTTTTCCAGAAGCACTTTTTATTCTAAGCTAAATGATTTCTAATTTCTTCTTATTTGTACAATTCAATCATGAAAAACATTGCTTCATGTTTAGGCTTCAGTCCGGGTCTTCTTGGGTTTCCCGGGGGTACCCAGACTGGAGTTGTCCCGGATGGAAGCGTGAGCAGTGACAGCACAGAGGTGGAGTACTGCTGCCGGGATGACGGGTTTGCCTCCTACCCCATCCGCCTGCCCTCCAGACCTCCCTTCTACCTGCTCAGACGTGACAGGCGTGAAGGAGAGTGCCAGCAGGTACAGAAAGATGACATTCAAAACTGTCAGTAGCTTCTCATTTCCGTCCTTAAACGGACGGTGATTAATAAACAAATTACTGCAAATTACTAATTCCTGGTCTCTGCTGTGTGTAGTTTTGTTGAGTTTATACGAAGAAAGAGTTACGGTGTCGCTCCTGTCGCTCTAGGTTGATGGAGCAACTGTTAGTGAGGAGTGGCTTGAGTACAGGGGAAACGGGTACCGTGATGGCATGACTCCTGACGATGATGGGGACGACAACAGCCACAAGCTCTACTCCTGCGTCTACACCAGAAATACTCCCAATACCGTCATCTCTTCGGATGCTAGGCCTGGCGACAACGGTAATTATGACGACCTCCCAGATACAACGGTTATCCCAGACTCAGCTGCTATTCAGGTGCCTACAGCCATCGGATTTGTGGTATGCGCTATCAGCTTTGTAGCTGCACTCTGTAGGGCTCTGTTGTAAACTCTGTGAATAATAATGTCCACCATAAAACTTCACAACACCATTTTTTTTCTAGAAGATTATCTATTTGTTGACCTTGGCTAACTCGTGAAAAAAGTCATTTTGGTGAAGAAAGAGAAAAGAAATTATATAAAATTGATCTGGCATCTGCGTCTTTGGAAAATATGCCAAACTTCATGAAATTGTATCGATGCAAGAATATTTTCAATTCTTTATCATATCAAAATCAGGCACATCATTTGTATTTCTTTGATGCAGAATTTGTATCTTGATATCGATGTCTAAATTCATCTGCAACATCGCCCATGGCCCGGCGAAGCCATTTCAAGACTTTGCCCCTAGGAAAGTCTGATGTACATGTGCGAGGTGAAGATATTTTGAACAGAATGAGCAGATGATTGTAGATTGTACAAAAACAGTTTTTTTTTGTGTGTGTGTGAAGTTAAGTTCTACTAGAGGTGTGCTGTAAATAGATATAGGTCTGGCTTTGCATACAGTCTGACATTGCGTGTCCAGAACAACATCGAGAAATCGTAATCGTACGAGATAAGCATAGTGTATTATTTATTCATGGTGTATTATTATTCTTATTATCTGACAGTACAAGGTAATGCATCATATGTGCAATTGTCGTGCAATAGCGTTGAATGCATAATGTTTTGGTTGGAAAGAGTGTATATCATTAACGTTAGCCTGTAATATGAGTCCATTTTACTGTAAATGATTTGGAAAGTGTAGTAGTAAATAATTTGACTCACGTTTACTGCATGTTACTTACTATATTCAATAGAATGTCTGTTCACTAGTATATATGTTTGAAATTTGTCAATAATGCAATGCCAGACCCAACATTTCAGAAAGGACGGGATCATTATACCACTCTATTTGTTGCATGCATGTCAGCATCCTCGAAGTCGTTTTGAAATATTTACGACAAGACGAAATTCTTGAAAAATATACATGTTTATTTTAAAAGCCGCAGAATTTCATAGTCTGAAACTGTAAGATGTTCTGGCACAAGGGAGAACGAACTTGACTGTTGAGTAGGACAAGGTAATTGTACCGATACAAGAGGCTAGTTATGAACAAATAATCTCGCAGTCATCAGACACAGAACCCAATATTTGACTATACAAAATTTGATGTACAGTACTGACAGGCGCGCTCAAACAGTTCATGGTGATATGAGCTATATATATATGATACAATCTAGCAAAGAGAGGAAAACCGTTATATGTACAAGTGCGGTAGATCGTATACTAAAGGTAATCACAGTATCGAACATGTTATGTACAGGTATCCAAGACTGTAAAATGATGATAAAATGAAATAAAATCATATATTATGGGCTGGTCACATTTGTCTGACATCCTTGTCTGTTTTCAATTGCTATACATACTATACTAGCATATGCATGGCTGGACACAACGAAAGTGTAACTGCCTTTATTGTTTGTTCTTTATCAAAAGCTATAAATCTTACAATGTTTTTTTTTTCTTTTCTTTGGGTACAAAGATTAATCGTCTGGGCTACTGGTTCGGGCGGCAATCAGTTTGGTAAATAACTGACATACCGTCGGGGCCTGATACTGGATTGCTCTTCTTTTTAATCATCATGTGGGGGCGGAGTCTTCTGCATAACAGGACATCAATGTACCGTGTACGTTATATTAGGGTCAGAAAGTAACACCTACTGACTACTACTTTGTAGACACATGCTCGTTGCTTTCTGACCGTATTATACAGTCAGAATTCCTAGATGTAGCACGTCGAGAAGATATGCACACATTGACATTACGACCGAATAGAAAGAAAGCATAGTGCATTGTTTCGCGGTGACCTCAACTTTGGAAGACATGGTTGCTGCGGCACATAACAGAAGTACCTGGAGAAGCCCCGTCCAAACCGTTTGTCGATCGATGCAACAATAGTTGCGGGAGGATCTAAGGTCTAATTATAAGGTAAGTCAACTTGGGAACGCATGACAGTCGCCCGGCCAATGTGGCCAGCGCATTTATCACTATTCAACCATGCTCTTTATTCTATGAGAATGTTTTTGAACCTAAAGGGGGTCCTTTCCTGTATGATTTTTTTATCTGCATGTACGTAGATTTTTTTCTTACGAAAATAGAACCTTCGCGTAATTGAGCTCGCACCAGTGGCAATGCCTTTGTTTGGTGGACATGCCGAGTAAACATGGGTGGTGTCCGGTGTTGACCATTTATTCTTTTGCGTCAATGCCAATCTCACACTTGCATGCTCAATTACAGATCCATCCCCTAAATGGTATAGAATAACTCTACGCCAAACAATGTCAGGCTGTGGTAACTTAGCAAAAGAGACTACCCCCTGTAGGTATTTGCATACGTAGTTACCTTTCCGTACAGTACGGAGCTGCGAGGGACCGCTGCATCGTCTACGTACTCACTTCACATCTGCAGTTCCCGGTCCCAACATAACGTGAGTAGAGAGTTTACACGTTCATAAGCTACTATATTATATGATCATAGAAATGTCACTGTCTAACGATGTGGGCAGTAGATTTAGATGGCAAGGTGGCAAGGTGGTCTTGGTTATGATTGTTGACTCAGAAAACGAACTTCAGAGTTCTAGGGTCAAATCCCTGGCAGGACCCAGTGTTGTACCCATAAGAAAATTTTAAGCTACACTCAGGTGAAAATGAGTACTTAGCTTCGGTTAGGGACGTCCTCTCGGGTAGGACGTAAAACCGGAGGCCCCGAGTTTGAGGAGAGACACACCTCAAGCACGTTAAAGATCCCACCACGCGTATCGAGAGCACGGGTCCTTACTGGTGTGAGTGGTTCAAACCTTACAATCGTGTCTCAGGTTTGACATCTTACAAAGGTGATAGTCACCTGCTATGCCAATCCTTCTACAGTGTATGGTAAATCTCGGTAAATATATAAAGAAATGCATTTAAATGGGCTATATATTATGAAAAAAGGGATTGTTTTTATTAGGAAGCCAGACAAACAACTAGCTCACAGGTGGCTGGTGTTAGGTTCCCGTCAACAGATCTAGAATGGCAGAAAGCCAAATTGTACATGTAGGTGCTTTTGTTTCCGAAATGTACAGTAGGAGAAACATATGACGACGTAGAATCCCGTCACTCTTCCAGCGAAATTTGTCCATGGATATGTGTGGCTGGGTGTCAAGGCCATTTTATTTTGTGGTGTACGTACGTTTTTCTTTCTTTTGTTCAATGTTGCCTGGGATTCAAATACAAATATTTTAGCGCTCGGTCGACTGTGCAATGCAGGCTGCATAACTTAGCTGGTAGGTTTTGTCCGATACAGACTTTTTTGTCTCATCCAACTGTTGTTTCGGTCTGTACATGTACTGCATGTCGTTTTGCTGTGCTGACGAGATTATACGATACTTTATCCATTGGAAGTACACACTTAGAACATTGTTATTCTCTACTTCGTCTAATTATGACAGAAAGATAAAACAAATCTAGAAGATGCCAGACGAAAGAAAGCAAGGCTCGAATTAGCGCTTGCCCATAACAAAGTTTTCCAAAGTCAAAGAAGATGTAAAAGAACAAACATAAGGAACTCATTGTGTTTAGTTATTGGACCAGTCCTGTCCACTTAGATTTCAAAATGAAGGTAACTTGCTTTGTTCAACAACGGCTTTTTTTTATTCGCAAGCTCGTATTATTTTTTGGTGCCCAGAGGATGTCATGCATGTAATCAGATGAATGTGGCCTAAAAAGGAATGATTACTCCTCATGGAAGGGACTTGAATACACTGCTGGTGCCGCACTTGTCCTTTTTTTTAAATCCCAGACGGCGCTATAAGAAAACCCAACGAGTTGCTTGAATCGAAGCTTGGTCTTGTGGCAAAAACGAGTCATACGTCCATTTTTCGACCTCTGCCTTGTCTTGATTGACTTTCTCCATGCCCTCAGCTTGTATGAATCACACTGAATTTCATTTGTTATATTACATTGCAGCACAATGAAACCCCTCAGGACGACAATCATTCTCCTGTTGCTTGTGGTGCCTGCACTGCGCGGTAAGTACGGCCTATCTAGATCTATTATATGTATCTACCAGTATCTGTATCTGTACAGCCGGTATAACTGCCTTTCGGCATAACACACCAGCTTCGCAGGCACGCGGCGCGGTGGCAGCTGGCTGTATTACACCGATCGAACAGTACTTACTTTGTACAGTATACTGAATTCTACATCCTAAAATATACATCGAACAAGTTTTGCTGGATCCGGCCCTCTCTTTCGAGGCAGTGAATTTACCCACTTCTTCTACAATACAATAAGTGGGTTCCTTGATTTTGATAGTAGAATTGCATTGCTTTCTCATGGTCAGGGATAGTGGGAAAGTAAATATATATTTTGGACAACTAGCAATGCGAAAGGGTCTTGGACGTACAGAGACTAAAGAATAAGTGAAAAAAGCACCTGATTTTATATTCAATGATCATCCATGCCATGGGAATGTAAATTAGATAGCAATAATTGACCTTGGCAAGAAATACGAAAATGTCCATTACAGCATTACATAGCATTATGCATATCACATTTTGCTCAGTTTCTTCTTCTTCTTCTTCTTCTTCCGTTTCAAACAAATAAGTTCAATGACCAGGACCAGACGTTTGTCACCATGGTAACTGGTGTTGGGTTACACAATGTTATAAGTGCCATGCAGAACTGAGTTCAAGAGGGGCACCATATGTATGAGAGTCTACGAGTAAAAATAAACCAAGCAGTAGTTTGTTAAGCTGATGAAAGTCATTTTCTCCATTCTTCATTCGAACAGCATCAGTGCCATGCGGCGGAATACTCTCCGGAAGTTCTGGCCAGATCCTGTCACCAGGCTATGGAGAAGGTCTTACCAACAGCCCGGGCGAGATGGACTGTGAGTGGAAGATCATCGCCCCGACTGGAAAGGACCTGCAGTTGACGGTTGGATACCTTCAACTGGGGGAAAACGGCCTCCTCGAGATATTCGACTTCTGCCCGTACGGACACAGAGTCGAGAGTCTTTCAGGAACTGCCGAACCCTCACTGACCATCATCACCACCGCAAACGAGGCCTTCCTGAAATTCACCGCGAGTGGGCTACAACCCACACAGGGCTTCCGCATCAGCTACCGAGGTATTTATAGCCGTTGTTTCTTTTCGTTGTTTTTCTTCGTTCAAGTTTGCGTAAAATTCAGTTGACATGGACATTGACTTTCGTCAAAGCTATTTCTGCAAAACATGGCCATTCTATTCTACATGTGTATTTCAGCCATTCCGACTGAAATTTGGTCATTCCACCTTCAATTTGGTCGGCAGAACAACCAAGGAAACAGAAGACAGAAGAGAGCGATTGCAGGAATTTTAAGGGTATGATACATAGAATCTGTGTTTTCTGGTATTCATGACTGGGACAAATAAACAAAAACTATTGTTCACAATAGTATCAGTTATTGATTTGTCGTCAGCTCAGAATAGAAGGGATGAAAAAGAAAGTGATAATGAGTGCGCTGCAATTGTACATTTTTCCTTGCAGGTCGCTAGTTTTGTGAGCGACATTCTCTTCAACGTGGCAGGCCTTGTCTTCGGTCGCCTTGACTCCCAGACTGCAGAACAACGACATCAACAACTAACAGAGAACCTGGTTCGGCTGAACCAAAACGTTAATAACATACAGGAGGAAATACGGGAGCTAGGCGTCATGAGTGAATTGCGCCACCAGAGGGAACTAGCCGCTGACAAGTACGCTGCCTCGGAGCGAAGAATTAAGAACTTAGTGGACACGCTGCACACCCGACTGCGGATAACCGTAGATGGAGCACTGGAGCCCGGGAGCCTCGCCCAGGAGTGGGTGCAAGTAGTGTTGAGTCAGGACTCAGAAGGCATGAACCAGGTACCATGGTATTATTTACACATTTACTTGTCAATGATATGCATTGAGCTGTAAGAATGTACGAATTGGAATTCTATGTAGGAAGGAAGTATAAGGTAACGAACTATTGGTTGATATGCGAATAAGTGAAGACATTTTTTGGAAGTCCAAGAGGAAATAAAAGCTGGACAATGTCTTCACTTATTTGCATACCAATCAATCTGCAACTAACCTTCAGCCTCTTAGTGTCACTGAATCAAGATAGTGGATGCCGACGTCTGACCATTTCCAAAATTATATCCAGTTGCTTGAGTAACTGTTTTTTTTTGGCGTATCTTATTACCTGAATGTCTAACTTTCACCGAACATGGGGTCGTGTGGCGTAGCGGCAGAGTGCTCGACTCGGAATCAAGAGGTCCCGGGTTTGAGTCCTGACATGTCACCGATCTTGTGCTCTTGGGAAAGGCACTTTACACGACTTTTCTCACTTCGCTCAGGTGAAAATGAGTATTGTACTGTCCCCTGTGTTGGTGGCGGCATTAATGTAAGTTGAAAAAACTTGAGTGTGCCGTCACCACGTCTTGTGATTAGATGTTAGAATATGTATTTAAAAAACCTTCACCGACGTCGTATTGTTCATCATTTGTCGTTCATCACAGGCGCTGAACAACATGCACGACATGGTGACGGGGAGCACGACGGTGTTTGACGGGACGTCAATCATTGAAACATTGGACGCCATCCTGAGGCAGCAAAACCATCCGAGTGCCACGGAGAAGGTAGATAAGTACAGTTTTGTTTTTACATAATTCATATTAATCTACCTTAACCAATCTGTTTATTGGTTTATTTGATTTTTCACACAGGGAAACGGAGGGCAAAACAGGTGCATGCGCACCTTTACAAGTTGCCCTCCCCCATACAAGAAACACATGTACAACATCAAAATTTATATACTATTTAGTCATTAATGATTAATTCATGGATACGTTGTAGACAGCAACTCTTTGAACGTGACGTCTGAGACACGTGACCGTAGTGGCGGTTCATACACGCCAGATAACTTGTGTCGCCCCCCGTCTCTGTTCAGGCTAGGTCTGTGAAGTCTAATGTAGCTCTGTTTCATAATGAATTGTACCAACACAGATGGAGTTTCATTCTAACATAACTTCTCTTTGATTTTATTCAGCTGAAGAGCATCTCTGAATACATCATTGACCTGCAACTCTCCGGGTACGTTGCCTGGATCCTGGCGCTGAAGCAGAATGCTGACATGGGCCAGGCTGACGAAGTTATGAAAAGATCGTACAGCAAGCTGAGTGAACAGAACTGCTTCATTGCTCGTTTCTTCTACGGTGAGTAAATTTGTCATGAAATGTTCGTCTGTGTTCGGTATAGTAATCATTATAGTAAGATATTGAACTTTATTCCAACACAAAGATTACACAGAGATAAAATTTTCAAAGACCACTGTTAGCGACCTCTTTGAGTATCATTATCACATATCTCAAAAAGACTCTTTTCTTCAACACGCCTGCACTGACATTGTTTTTATTTTTATTTTCATATAAATTAGAGTGGCCGACAGGCACGTACGGCCTCCCTAAGGCTTCCAGTGGGTGTCCTGCCGGCTTCAGTGATGGTCAGTACGAGTTCAGGGGACAGGTTAACAGTTTCAGCTGGACAGGTCAGCTGTATTTAGCCGGCAGTCTCTCCAACAACAAAGTACAGCAGGGGGTCTGCATGAAGGTTGTATTACATCAATACTAGTAATTAGCACTTAACAATTCAACTTTATAATATATGTTTAATCTATTTGTACCTGTGATACCTGTTTTTGTGTTTAAAGTAAAAAGCTTTGTGTTGGTATCATATATAACGATAAAAGATTCGGGATAATAATTAAAGATTTTCTTTTCTTTATCCAACACAAACATCTATTATTTGACATCTGGCCTCCAATGCACTTTTATTTCTCTATGCTGATTTGTTTCAAGTTTGTCATAATTTCAACATAATTTTGTATATTTTATTCATTATCATTATTGCTAAAAGTAATTATTATTATTATGTTACATGTATTATTATTTGATATTTTATTTTATGTTGGACTCCAGGAAGAATAGTATGGAATTAACCATACTAATGGAGATCTTAATAAACAAAATCAGGGCAATTGTTTGCTGGCAAAGACACAAGTGTAATCCTCTTACTTTGGTTTTCCAGACGACTTCCAGCGACAGCGAGGACAACTGGCCAAAAGGGAGCTACTGCATCCTAAAGTATGGGAACTGTCCAGCCGGTACGTGTATCAGCAAGCTTTTATCATCGTAGTTCGCAAACTTTATCATGCCTGGTACAAGAATACAGTTATATATTTATATTTACATTATATCTATATTGTATTCATATTATATCTATATTATATCTATATTATATCTATATTATATTTATATTATAGTCATATTATAATTATATTACATTTATATTATATTTATGCTACATTTATGTTATAGTTATATCATGGTTATATCATAATTATATATAGTTATAAATAGTTTTATTATAGTTATATCATAGTTATATTATAGTTTTATGTAGCTATATTGTAGTTATATTATAGTTATATATAGTTATATTATAGTTATATTATAGTTATATTATAGTTATATTATAGTTACATATAGTTAGATTCATTCATGTCCAATATTGTCCAAGATTTTGTATAAATCGATCATGAAATACATGTCTTTATCATCTTCAGGCTTCAGCCCGGGTGTGCTGGGCTTTCCCGGGGGGACCCAGACCGGAGTTGTTGCTGACGGAAGCGCGGAGTTTAACAGCACAGAGGTGGAGTACTGCTGCCGGGAGGACGGGTTTGCCTCCTACCCCATCCGCCTGCCCTCCAGACCTCCCTTCTACCTGCTCAGGCGTGACATGCGTGAAGGAGAGTGCCAGCAGGTACGTATACGTATACATACACCAGGTATCCAGTCTATCGACTTTACTCAGGGTGCCAAACTAGTATCGGCATTTGGGCCAACCCCAGTAATTTCTATCAAAGCTAGCAGGAATCAACGAATTCTGCAAATCACTCAGCTCCATATCTTCAAGTGGTCTCTGCTATGTGTAAAGTTTTGTTGAGTTGCATCCGCGGATCCAGAAATTTGTGAACGGGGGGGCGCACCACCTGACGTGGCCGAAGGCCACGTAAGCGCTGCGCGTCAGCGCTGCGCGGGGGGAGAGTACGAGAGGGGGGAAGCCCCCCTCTCGTTGGGGGGGTTTGCGGGGCCTCCCCCAGAAAATTTTAAAAATTGAGAGTCTCTCTGGTGCATTTTAGAGTCATTTCTGAGCAAAAAAAAACAACGAACTAATGCTGATGTTTTCGATACATTCATGTGCCTGTCGGTACATTTTACGACTGAGAAAATAGAATATTGCGATTGCATCTATGTTTGGGACGACTTAATTTCACGGAACGGGGCAAATAAAGAGTTCGCGATGGATTTTAGTTAGCGAAAAAAAGAACCAAATACAAAAGGAAATGCCGCCTCTTTATAGACCGGATCACTTAAATCATTTTCCGATCGCGAGGAACGCTCGGTCACAACATCGCAGCACTCAAATACACTAACGGATAACACTTATAACATATGAAGTAACGGCCGTGGAGAGACGGAGCGCCGCGGCAAATTTCCGTCTCGTAAACGGTCGTCGCCTTTCCGAACGGTCGTCGCCTTTTCTCAGAACGGTCGTCGCCTTTCGGAGCGGTCGTCGCCATTTCCAACACGCACCCTTACTCTTAAATTTCCCCAGGCACCTAGTTAATTGTTCAAAGTGCTAATTGACAGCTTTAATTTTCACATAATTGAATGCCAAATTGCCCCCAAAATTGTCGCTTTGGACCTGAACACTTGGTTGATGAATTGTGTATTTTTTTTTGGCCAAAATCCTGCCTGCCAAAAACACACAGAATGATTGGGACCCTCAAGTAGATAATTAATTGGATTAAAGTTTTCCCGCCAAAAAACTTAGTATATGGGGATTCTGACCTTTGACCTTTCCTCCCTCCCTCTTTCTCTGAACACTTAGCCACCACACTTAAACCAAGTCACACTGTTCCAATGCTTTGGACCTTTTACACTTACATGTAACTTCTCGAAACACTTTGTGACACTCGTGCTATGTCAGACCAATCTTCCGAAACACTTAGTTACTTGAGTGAGACTTTTCTGCCAGAATGATTGTCACTCTACTTGTCAGTCAATGCACAGAAGTTTGCTCCCCTGAACTGTTGATACATACGAAGAAAAGATTACCTTACGTTTTGTTTTTGCTCTGTTTCCTCTTCTTCTTCTCCAACGAAATAAGGTCAATGACCTGAACCAGATATCTGTCACCATGGTAACTGGTGTTGGGTTACATCATGTTGCTTTTTTATTGCAGGAGGCATTTGCGACTATATATATGTTTGAGTAACAATTAGCAGAGCAGAACATATGCGAAGGTAAACATTATGCATTTGCTTTGCAAATGTTACCTTTCTTCTTATATTATATATCCCTCTATATATGTCCCTCTAGGTTGATGGAGCAACTGTCCGTGAGGGCTGGGTTGAGTACAGGGGAAACGGGTACCGTGATGGCATGACTCCTGACGATCATGGTGACGACAACAGCCACACGCTCTACTACTGCTTCTACAGCGTCCCCGGTCCCGCCACTGACGCCCCGAGTACACGGGTCATCTCAGCTGCCGAGCCGATACACACAGCCAATGTCGTCAACTTTGGTACATGTGTGATCATCAGCTTTGTACCTGCACTATGGGCTCTGTTGTAGACTATGCAGTGCCAAAAGAGAATCATATTATAATGATAATCAGACCACAAAACACAAAACGTTTTTTTGACAGAATCTGTTCCTTGGCTAAGTCATTTTTGTCGAAGAAAGATAAAACGGATTCTTTCTATAAGAAGTAAACTATCATTTCCTTCTTTAGAAAATGTGTCAAACTCCATGAAATGGTAGATCTATCGATGTAACAATTCTTTTTATTCCTATATCAATCATATTTCTTCGATGCAAAATTTAAATCATGATATGCATGATGTTCAAATTCCTCTGCAACATAGCCAATGGCGCAGTTAAACCAATGTTCCAACGGTCTCACAATTTTCGAGATCGAGAAATAAGTGAAACCCTTTGTAACTTTGTAACTGTATGTTTAGTGGTTTAAAATCGCACAAGATAAACATGTTGTATTTTCCTGATAGTACAATAACATGTGGTGCATTTAAATGATAGTGCATATTATTTAATTCATCACACATAAATGTATTTTTCGTGAGGAAGAGTGTGAATATTATACCTTTTCTGTTGTTGTTGTAAAACGTGTAGTACTACATATTCATGGGTTCACCACACCACGAAGTGGTGGTGAACCCATATTGCTTTTTCTGATGTTTCTTCTTCTCCTTCTCCTTCTCCTGCCATTTTTTAAATGGATTCAGCTTCTTCATTTTAGGGCCCAAGGTCCTGAAATTTGGTATGGAGGTACAGTGGGCAAATACCCCTAGGCGTTTTTTAAATTATTGTGATACAGGCTTTTAGAATGGTTTTATTTGAGTTTTTGGCTGTGTTATAGCAAATGTATTACTGTGTTAGTGTGCCTTGTTTACCACGTTTTGGGCATGAGTCATCACAATGGAATGCAGGGCATCAACCAATAGGCATGCAGCTTTCCTCTATACTTCTTGCTGATTGGCTGTTGGGATTTAACTTGATTAACACCTGCACAGAGCATTTCCATACTGACAGTATGTCTTTATTCAAGTGTTTTGGTAGGTATTTCAAGCTTTTCTGCTCCAGCATTGGAATGCGGGGCATGGACGTTTTTTTTTTATTTTGAAAATCAACAGTTTGCATTATGCAATTAAAAATCCTAACCAATAAAGTAGGGAATAGCTATCCAACTGTTGTTTTAGTTGTATTTTACTTCATATTGTAGTTATATCAATGTAAATCATTGTTTTCCCTTGTGTTTCTCATTCTTTCCCTGCCATGTCGTAAAATGTGGTGAACCCATCGCTGTATTTGCTCCAAAGCAAATATTGGCCTTTCTAGTTTGATTGGCGTTTACTGTGTGATAGTCACTAAACCGTTTGAAGTGTTCTATAGATGTTCGATGGCTTGTCAGTAATACAGTTCCATACGATTTCAGAAAGGAGGGGGAACCGTCATAGTACTCATACAATTTTCATTGCTGTATGCGTGTCAGTATCAAAGAAGTCATTTTTTTCATCTTGATGACCGACGAATTCGTTGAAAATGTACATATGTGTGTTACTTGTTTGTTTGTTTGTTTGTTTGTTTGTTTGTTTGTTTAAAGAGCCTAAGAATGTTGTAATCTGGAACTGTAAAGTGTTCGGACACTGAGGCATAATTTTAGGGGGAAATGAACTTGACTGTTGAGAAGGACAATGTTAATCATGAAAAAATAACCTCCATCAGATACAGAATATGATATTTGAGAATTTGACTATACAACATTTGATATACAGAACTGACAGGCGTATTCAAACACTTCATGGTGATATGTAACTGTGCACTGTGATTAGTCTATTACAATCTAGTAAAGAGAGAAAAACTGTTATTTAGTGGTTGCTTGTATACTACAGGTAATCACAGTATCATACATACAGGTATCCAAGACTTTAAAATGACGATAAAATGAAATAAAGTCATAATTCTGGGCTGTTCATGTTTGTCAGTGACGATCCTTGCCTGTTTTCAATTGCTATACATACTATACTAGCATGGTTGGACACAGTATAACTGCCTTTATAGTTTATTTTTTATCGAAAGCTATAAAATCTTAAAATGTTTTTTTTTTTCTTTTTTTTTGTGGGTATAACGATTAACCGTCTCGGCTACTGGGTCGCGTCTCAATCAGTCTGGTAAAAAAAAACGACATACCGCCGGGCCATGATACTCGATTGCTCTTCTTTTTAATCATAATACGGGGACAGGGTCTTCTGCATAACAGGGCATCACCGTACCGTGGCCGACAGGTACAACGTATTGTAACGGTGTAGCATCTAGGCGGATTCTTACAATGTAACGTTATATTAGCATCAGAAAATAACACCTACTGACTACTACTACAGACCATGTGGACACATGTTCTTTACTTTCTGACCCTAGTTAATATAAATAGTCAGAATTCCTAGATGCTTTACTTCTCGAACAGTGCTACAATATGTTGTACCTACCAGCCACCGTACTCTGGTCAGTAACTTATACCGGCAGGTCCTTCGTACATAAAGATTGTATTGCTCTTCTTTTTAATCACGGGAGCAGAGATATCTGCACAACAAGACACCATCGTATCTATGGATACATTGCGACGCAGATATTAGTCTGAGCTGGGGCATAAATTAAGGGATTTGAGGGTATAGACGACAGTGTTGGTTTTGTTTTCTTGACTGTCGGTAACGTAAAGAAGGTTAGTCCTTATAGTGAAGAGAGCTCGCTGAATGATTCGGACATTTTAAAGACGGAAGTGTCGACAACTAATAGCATGCGCTCAGAAAGGACGATGGAGAGTCCAGTTTATTTTCTTTCATGAATAAGCCATTTGAAACGTTCTCTCGCTAAATCTAGCTGTTTAGAGTCGGAAGCGGTTACTACGCATCTATCAAGAGAGAAAACTACCACAGGAAGGTCCGACGACTAGGCAGAGTCAGAACTGCCGAGAAACTTCGCCGCTTCAGATTGGGAGAAATCAGCACCTGTATTTCAGGTAAAATATATCTCCACAAACAATCTTCCTAGACAATAGACTTCCCTTCTCAAAATTTTCCTTTCTTGGGGAAGAAGACAAAGACTTTGCATTCACTGAAGGGATCAGTATCGAGTTCAGATACTTTATAGAACAAACAACTGTGTCAAAACCTTAAAGGTATATAAAACTTTAGTAGGAACTGGATGCAAAAAATGTTCACGACGAAGTCGAAATTTCCGTGTAAATCTGCCGTTTTGACAGTTCTCATCTTGTCCACGGTATCCGGTCTCATGGCAGACCACACCTGCTTTCCTACATGCGAAAGAAAACCGTGGAGGCTGAACGAATGTCAGGCCATTCGTTTACTTCAAAGGGAGAGAGAGGAGAGTCCTCCTCATCCGTTAGACAGAAAGCCGTGCCTTGTGTGTCACAACGGCCCCAGGTATCCCTTAGAAACAGCAGAGAGCCACGCAGACAAGTGTTTCCCTGGCGAGGGCCGTCTCGTAGTGAAAGGTTTTCAGTTTGGAATGTTATCGTTCCAAAAACTAGCTCTGATCGACCCTTCGCGCCTCGACATTTTATTCCTTTTTGATGCGGGAATAACTGAATTGGAAACTGGCACGTTCAAAGACTTTGCAAAGCTGAAATTTTTGTATTTAGATCATAATCTTTTGAGGCACGTACCGCAAAACTGGTACAGCGGTCCACATTCAAGGGGAGAAAACGATCTGAGGCATCTCTCACTTCGTGAAAACGCGATTTCCAGTTTAGAACCGCGATGCTTTCAAAATCTGGACAAACTTGAGTCTCTAGGTTTATGGTACAACGCGTTGCGAGAAGTACAACGTCAGTGGTGGGTCGGACTCGCCGCACTAAAAACACTTCTCCTTGCCTATAACAAGATTGAAACGATTCCGTCCAAAGCGTTTGAGCCTTTAACTAACCTAAAGCTTCTTGACTTAATCCATAACGATCTAGTCCGTCTGAACGAGGAAACGTTTTTGAAAAGTCATGCCATAGCTACTGTCGTACTCGGTGGGAATCATCTCGTCTCAACCTCTGGTTCTTTGCAAAACATGGCGTGGAAACTTGTACGGGAAAGCTGTGCGCAAAACGCAAAACAGCTGATACGTTTGGAGGCAGTCGGCACAGTTCTAGTCATGAATTATGAATCTACGGAAAGCAGGTTTACCATAGATTGGTCTAGCGAGCCGAAAAGCAAAAATGACTATCCGAAGGCGTGTGGTCGATTAGAATCTCGGCTTGGCCATTTTAAGCCGTATCCTCCTTTCGTCATCATAGTCAAGAATGGTACAGAATATTCAAATGAGTCTTTTTCAACTCTGTGTTCAAACGCATGGGAAGAATCTGGTGGTTTGCGTTTATTGTTAGAAGGGACATCTAACGTTACTCTTCACGTCTCTGCTTTTGAGGCACGTAAAAATCCAGGCGCCAGCAAAGAGGAGGGTGTTAGCGTAGTCGTGAACAAATCAAACCAAACAGGTGGCGGAAGGATACATTCTGGGTCAAAAGTGAACTGCCTGGCTCTCGTCCATGACGACAGAAAAGTCTCTTTCTTCAGCGTGTCCGCGACAAGGCAAGCAGATGACACGAAATGTTTTGAAGGGGACGTTGTGACAACGGTGTACGAAACGACATTTTCACTTTAACGAATTCGAAAACAAGGAAATGCTACGCGAATGTAACTGGTTTTAATAACACCCATCACGGAGTGAGTAGCATTAGATCAGAAAACGTAACAGCTTTCTTTTCAACAAATGCGGGGCTGACCAAAATATCACTGGACAATGCAACAGCCGGTGTGCCGGTATCTTCCCTCACACAGAGTAGTGACGTGACTCCTGAATTTTCGTACGTTTCAAATCTGTGGATTCTCCCGATATTGATGCCTGTCGGCACAGCTCTGGTTGTCGCTCTGTTGTTGTGTTACGGAAAGAGAAGGAGAAATAGCGGAAATCGCGACCAAAATAGAGGCCGAAACAACGCATTTCAAGGTGCACAGAACAACGGCAGTGTCCCTGCAGGAATTCCTCTATCTAACATCAACACACTTTTACAGAGTAATCCGATGTACAGCCGTGATGCACAAGACACTCCCCGGACAGAGACAGAGAATATTCGCGATCCCGGTCAAGCAGATGGCAACAGCTACAACCAAATAAACGAGGATGAAGTGTACGATCCATCTCCACACCACTACAGCAATGATTATGATGAAACTACAGGCCAAGCCTCGCACACAGCTACAACAAATAGAAGAAGAAACCAAAGAAACGAGGATGAAGTCTACGATCCATCTCCACACTACTACAGCAATGACAAAGAAACTCCAGGACAAGCCTCGCACGTACCTATTTCCAACACCTACAACCAAATAAATGAGGATGAAGTGTACGATCCAATCTCCACACCACTACAGCAATGACAAGAACTTCAAGACAAACCTCGCACGTACCTATTTCCAACACCTACAACCAAATAAATGAGGAAGAGGTTTATGATCCATCCCCACACCACTACAGCAATGACCACGAAACTTTAGGACAAGTCTCGCAAACAGACAAGACAGACAGACAGACAGACAGATAAATGAGCTATACGACCCTTCGCGACACAGCTACAGCATTGATCATGATGAAAATTCAGGGGAAGCCTTGCACACAGCTACAGCAAATAGCTACAACCAAATGAACGAGAATGAAGTTTACAATCCATCGCCACACTACTACAACAATGACCGTGAAACTTCAGAGCAAGGCCCGAACACAGCTACGACGAACACCTACAACCAAATAAACGAGGATGAGCTATACGACTCAACGGGACACAAGTACTGTGAAGTAAAAGATTACGAAACCCGTTAAAACGCATTAATGATGCATCTAAACATCCCCCAGATCTTCAAGTTCACCCCATTGCCCTTTTGATCTCCCGTTCTTTTGCCTGTCACTCTTTCTCCTACCCACGTGCTGTCAACCTACTCTTAAAGGAAGAGCCAATCGCGCCGATTCAGCTGTACTTTTAACTAGGCCATCCGTTTGTAATACTGCTTAAATAAGCCCCATTTCAATTTTCATTTACGTGTATATTAATAATACGGAAATTGATGTACTGCAATGTTATAAATTCTTTGTAAAAAGCTGTAAATATAGCATGAAATCTGAAACGTATTCTGACGTATGCTTATATTGTACCTGTAAATCGTTGGTCTATTTAGCGTTTATGCGTTTTTGTGTTCTTTGAAGTACACATTATATATCTATATGTTCTGTATACATATCAATGTTCTGCATATTATAGCTCGTGTATGTAATGAAATCAATTCCAACTTTTGTACAATGTCATTGAAAGATCAATAAACGTTATTTGGTAAACTATATGGTCAGGCTTTGTCTTTGGATTGTTAACAAAACAAAACAATAGTTTCGATACTATATTTAGTATCCAATATAACGAGAAGTAAAAACATCGAATGTCTTATTGTCATGACAAGAGACGTCATGTTGCCATGGTAGCAGCCACCATATTGCCATAGTAGCAGACCTCATGTTTCCTACAAGCAGACGCCAGGTTATCTCAATTACAGTTCATATAGTGCCTGATCTTTTGCTGAACAATCGACAAAAAAAATCAACAGTAGGTCAGGCACTGAAACTGGCTGCACTGGGAGCCTATATGGGATTAGGTGTTGTGGTCAATTGTGCGGAGGGCATTTAAAGGTAACGACGCTAAAGTAAACAGCGTCAAAAGTGAAAGTTCTCCGGAGGGGAGGAAAGTCGTCCAAGCAGAGAAACAACAGACCCTTCCTGGGCGACGCAACATCGCTTAAAGGTACATCGTGAAACCGCGGGGACTGGGAACGCAACGTTGAGCCAACTAGCTTCTTGTAACTTGGAGGTAAGTTTTAGATTTTCGTTCACGAAGTTATTTTGTTGGCGCTTTCAATGTGTCAAGGCATGTACAGAGTTTAAACAACTCCCAAAGTGGTTTGGCTCGGCAATTTTGGGCCTACTACGAAATATTTGCAATGCTAAATGTATAGTAACCCGACAGTACTTTTACAAGGGGCGCTCGATACGTTCAAAGCCTCTCCCCAAAACAAGGAGCGCTCAAATCATGGCGATGATCACGTAGTTTAAAGGTGACGCCGTGTTTTTGAAAATAAAAAAAGTAAGGAGAGAAGCATGGCAACATCATCGACATTTGAGCAGCGGTGTGAGGTGTGAGCATCAATAAACGTCAGGGATCTCCACCCGGCGTATTTTCTTGATCCACTTCGCTTCATTCCGGTTAAGGATTCACATCAGACATTTTTGACAACGTCTTCGTAGATTCCATGACAAGACGCCCGCCCCAATTGTAGGCAAAAACAGCTCTGATCGCAGCTTTTCACTTACCTACTGATTTGCTTTTGAATTCAAAAGAGCTTCGTCTGCAAAGTAATGAACACAAGGATTTGAATTATGGTGGATGTTCATTAAAGGCCTTGCGCTCATACTCAGTACTTATGTCCCGAAATTTGAGTTGCGCACTTGTTTGTAGGTGAGGTGAGCATGACGTCGAGACCTCATTGCACGCCCCCCGTTAAGTTGCCTTGAAACGTATGGTATGTGTATATAGAAAAAGTCAAATTTGTTTGAGGAGTGAGCTTGTTGTTGTAGGTTTCTGGCATGTCTTTTTGAAGACAGCTCAGCGTTTAACTCAAGCAAATACCGTGCCGTGGAGACGTGCGAAGATTGCACAGTGCTTTAAATATTGTTTACAGCGTTACTTGGCCGTGCTTTCTCGGCGAAGCATGTATACGTGATGTTTCTATGGCAGCGGACAAACATGAAGACGTAAGACCCGTCGCTAAGGCCCCCATTCCACTTATTGGCGCTCTCACGGCGCTCTCTCTGCGACCTGAAATTGCCCAGAGCTAGCGCGGAGAGAGCGCCGAACTCCACAAAGAACGTGCTCAATTGGAATCTCTACGGCGACCTCTCTGCGCGACCAAAAACTCAAATGTCAGCAACGTTTTTGCACGATCAACGAATTCATAGCTGACTCAACGGAAATAGAGAATTAATTTTTGTACGTTCGTTTCATTGTTTTCACAGTCATTCTTGTACATCTTGCATCATTTAAAATCATGAAAAAAGGTATAAGGCCCCAATCTCTACTAGGACGGCGCTCTCACTGCGCTCTCTATCTCTTGTGGGAGCGCGGAGAGCGCCGTGAGAGCGCCGTGACCAGAAATTGGTCAGAGCGCGGAGAGAGCGCCGTGAGAGCGCCGAGGTCGCCATTTTTTATCCAAATTAATGTTGGGTTCGTTGCGCGCTCTCATGGCGCTCGCCGCGCTCTCGTCGCGCTCTCACGGCGCTCGTCGTTGCAACGCCGTCCTCGGCGCTCTCACGGCGATGGTGTGACCCGGTTCCATACCATCGCCGTGGTGACGGCGCTCATGACGATCGTGGAGCTCTCATGGCACTCTCATCGCGCTCTCATGGCGATCTCATGGCGCTCTCATCGCGCTCTCATGGCGATCTCATGGCGACCTCGGCGCTCTCTCCGCGCTCTGGCCAATTTCTGGTCGCAGAGAGAGCGCAGTGAGAGCGCCCTAGTGAAATGGGGGCCTTACACTCTCAATTTAATAATCTAAATATGATGTAGGATGTACAAGAATATCTTTGAAAGAGAGACAAGGTACAAAATTTCGTTTCTCTATTTCTGTAATTCGTTGAGTGAGCTATGAATTTGTCGCCCAAAAATGTTGCTGACATTTGAGTTTTTGGTCGCGCAGAGAGCGCAGAGAGGTCGCTGTAGAGATTTCACTTGAGCACGTTTTTCGTGGAGTTCGGCGCTCTCACCGCGCTCTGGCCCATTTCAGGTCGCAGAAAGAGCGCAGTGAAAGCGCCACTAAGTGGAATGGGGGTATAACTGAAGGTAAACAAATTAAGTTGTATTTATGCCCCACTCCTGAAAACAATTGTGGATGTTGCCTGGCAATGCACCTAATTGAATTCACGTGTACATTAAGACAGCACAGCTAAGTGTACCGTTCCCATGGTTAACGAAACATGAATCCACGGGAAATACAATCCTACTAAGTTTGAAAGGCTGAAGAAATCCTTTGAAAAGCCACAGTATTGTCCTTTGTTATTTCGTGTTTTCGTTGTTTCTTCACACGCGTACGTATAGTAGTTTCTACTGATGGTGTCGAAAAAATGCTTCAAGGTCTCAATCCCTCTAAAGCATCCGGACCAGACCAAATACCACCGTGGTTCCTCAAGTTGACAGCTAGTGAAATCGCGCCTGTTCTAAACAATATTTTCCAACACTCGCTAAACACTGCAGAAATCCCTAAAGATTGGAGGGATGCAAATATATGCGCCATCTTTAAAAAAGGAGATAGAGCGGTCCCCAGCAACTACAGACCTGTTTCACTGACCTGCATATCCTGCAAACTACTTGAACATATCATCCATAGCCAAATCATGAAGCACCTAGAAAGTTACAGTATATTAACGGATTACCAGCATGGATTCAGAGCCAAACGATCCACAGAAACACAGCTTATACTAACAGTCCATGACATAGCTGGCGCACTAAACAGTAAACGGCAGGTAGATTTAGCAATACTTGATTTCACTAAAGCCTTTGATAAAGTCCCCCATGGCAGGCTCATCTCAAAACTGGAGTATTATGGAATCCAAGGCCCTACGCTGAATTGGTTAAAGGCTTTCCTGACCAACAGGGAGCAAACAGTAGTGGTTGAAGGGAAGGCGTCGGCTCCAGTTAAAGTAGCGTCTGGGGTCCCTCAAGGAACCGTCCTGGGGCCATTGCTCTTTCTCTTGTATATAAATGACCTACCAGATCAGCTTGACTCAAATGTGAGGTTATTTGCCGATGACTGTCTATTGTATGTAGAGCTTTCTACACAGACCGACTCACAACTTCTCCAAAAAGACCTGAACACCCTGGAAGAATGGCAAAGCAAATGGCTCATGCAGTTTAATCCCGAAAAATGCTACATTATGCACATAACAAACAAACGAACACCACATGCAACTAGCTACCAGTTTTGTGGTCAGGCTTTAGCAACCACAAAAATCCATCCGTATCTGGGCGTCACGCTGACAAGCGGACTGAAGTGGGGTGCACATGTTAATAATATCACAACTAAGGCGAAACAGACATTGGGAGTGATTAAACGTAATCTGTGGGCATGTCCAACGAGAGTAAAATCACTTGCATACACGTCACTTGTAAGACCGAACCTAGAATACGCTGCGACAGTATGGGATCCATATACAAAGAAAGACAAAGACAAATTGGAAAGGGTACAGAATCAAGCTGCAAGATTCTGTATGAACAACTATGTAAGAGGTGCTAGTGTCACGGAAATGAAAATAAACCTACAGTGGACCTCACTTGAAGACAGAAGAAAAATGTCTAGACTATGCATGATGTACAAAATGACTAATAAACTGGTGGATGTCCCAACTACTAAGTACCTAATACCAGCCCAGAGGAGAACAAGAAATAGCCACGCATTCAAGTACCAGAGTTATCAACCAAGGATTGAGGTGTTCAAGAATTCATTCTTTCCTAGAACTATCGCAGAGTGGAACTCACTGTCACCAAGTACAGTAGGGGCACTGTCAATAGATAGCTTTAAACAATGTCTAGAGCTAGAAGTTCAAGGGTTAGGTGTAACAAGTCGATCGGTGTAATATAGCCAGCTGCCGCCGCGCCGCGTGCCTGCGAAGCTGGTGTGTTACGCCGAAAGGCGGTTATACCGGCTATACAGATACAGATACAGATACAGATACGTGCCCGTTCAAGGTTCAAGGAGCCTATGTATATGTTTGCTTCTGTCTGTGTGTGTCCCTTTGTTGATATATGTGTGTGTGTTTAATTTGTGTGCTTTTGTGTATGTGTTTGACTGCGTGTATTTTATTTCTGTGCATGTGTAAATCCACTTAGACGCCTATAATTAATATTCCACTTTGACTGCACTATCACGGCGCTCTCTCTGCGACCTGAAATTGGCCAGAGTCATATCCTGCATCATATTTAGATTATGAAATCAAGGGTTTGAGGCACCCATTTCACTAGGACGCTCCCTCTGCGCTCTCTCTGCGACCAGAAATTGGTCGGAGCGCTCCCATGCCGCTGTCATCGTGCTCCCATGGCGACCTTGGCGCTCTCTCCACGCTCTGGCCAATTTCAGGTCGCAAAGAGAGCGCCGTGAGAGCGCCGTCTAAGTGGAATGGGGGATTTATATTTTATCTTGACAAGATGAAGTCTAGTTTAAGACCCCCTTGTGGAAGGGATGGATATACATACTATACTATATTCGGTGTGTCCTTTCCTATCGCGTTGTTCGAATACAAATGTGTGTACTTATGTATGAATAATTTGTAATCACAGAAATACTTGAATTACACGTGCGCCGAAGTAACCCAGAGACGCCAGCATGGGGACCTGCGCCAGCGTTAACGCCAACCAGGTGGAAGTACGCGTGGGCACCGCCGTCTTCATCCGACCGGCGCCGTCCCAGGCCACAGCAGCGACGACAAAAAAACTCAAAGTCAGCGACGCGACCCCAGAAAAGCTGAAACAGGCCTTCAAGCTGGATTTCTACCCCAAGGAAATCACCGACAAGGCGACGCTCGTGACGCAAATCCACAAGGGCGAAACCAACCAGAGAAGGGGCTGCACGAGCTAGCTCCATGGAGGAGCTCTGCAGAGCTCCTCCATGGAGGTTGCTCGTTCAGCCCTCAGCTCTGCAGAGCTCCTCCATGGAGGTTGATCGTACAGCCCTCCGCGATACCCCCGCAGAGCTCTGCGCCAAAACAAGCCAATTCGTTGGTTGGCGTCACGGGTTCAGTTTTCTATAGAGCTCTGTAGATATTAAGTTAATTCAATGTGAGTAGTAGGCGATACAGCCAGTACTGTGTCACAAATAAAGACTTCGTCACGCAACTCTGCGCAACTCGGAGAGCTCTGCGCCCTAACAAGTCAATTCGTTGGTCGGCGTCACGGGTTCAGTTTTCTATAGAGCTCTGTGAGTAGTAGGCGATATACAGCCAGTACTGTGTCACAAATAAAGACTTCGTCACGCAACTCTGCACAGGACTGCTCGCTCAACTCTCCGTCAGTCTTTGACACACGGAGAGCTCTGCGCCAAATGAAGTCAATTCGTTGGTTGGCGTCACCGTTCAGTTTTGCTTTCACCTCTTTGCGGTCTGCGCTCAAAACAAGTCAATTCGTCATGGCTGTCGACACAGGTTCTGTTTTGTATAGGGCTCTGAGGATATCAAGTTAATTAAATATGACTATTAGGCTGAACAGCCAGTACTCTGTCACAAATTAAGACTTCGTCACGCAACTCTGCACAGGACTGCTCGCTCAACTCTCCGTCAGTCTGTTACACACGGAGAGCTCTGCGCCAAATGAAGTCAATTCGTTGGTTGGCGTCACCGTTCAGTTTTACTTTCACCTCTTTGCGCTCAACGCTCAAAACAAGTCAATTCGTCATGGCTGGCGACACAGGTTCAGTTTTGTGTAGAGCTCCGGGGATTTTAAGCCAGTTCAATGTGACTACTAGGCTTTGTAACGTACCAGCGGCCCGCAGAGGTGGTATTGCTGCTCTGACAGGTCGGCCTCCGTCGGTTTCAAGCTTGCAGTCAATAGCTCTGCGCCGAAACAGCTCAATTCATTGGTTGGCGTCATGGCTTTGTTTTGATTCCACCTCTTTGCGCACAAGACCAAGTCGCTTTTTAGTTAAACTCTGGTAGAACTACTTTTCCTTTGGCCCTCTATTTGGCCCTCTATATGCAGAACTGTCTGGGCGTCTAGACGACACAACATGAGATCAGGATGGCACTTACCTCTTTTGAAATCTTGGCCTTTCTGAATCGCTCATTGAAGTTTTTTGCACTCTTTTGTCTTTTGGATTATGGCACGTTCACACCTAGTTTATAACTGTGCATGACTTGTTTCGTGCGAGGGTGGCCGTCTCGGTTAGAACGGATGTTGGTTGTAAAATACAGGACAATGGGTGGCACACTGCTTGACCGATCACACTACAAAAGCATGTTAACTTTGTTTTGTATGGAGAAACGATGTTGTCTCTTTGAATAGTGTTCTTGTATACCAAAGTGTTATAGGTCAACTTACTATGTAAAGAAATGACTGTAACAACGTACTTTCTGTATTGCCCTAAACTTATATTGAAATGGGCCTGATTTGCGGTTGTAAATCTTGCCAGAGAGGTGTGGAAAGAAAATGTTTGGTTGTAGAAAACAGACCTTAAACCAAAACCAACTACTCAGAGGTTTTTGGAATTCATCAACTTAAATAGCTGAGTTCTAGAGCCCGGTTTTATGTTAACTACGAGAAAAAAAACACGATGGCAGTGGTTATAGATGGGCTATACCACTATAAATGAATGGGTACATCACTTTTTATATACGAATATATTTGTGTTGACACATGTGCCCCCAGCCATGACGAATTGACTTGTTTTGAGCGTAGAGCGCAAAGAGGTGAAAGTAAAACTGAACGGTGACGCCAACCAACGAATTGACTTCATTTGGCGCAGAGCTCTCCGTGTGTCACAGACTGACGGAGAGTTGAGCGAGCAGTCCTGTGCAGAGTTGCGTGACGAAGTCTTAATTTGTGACAGAGTACTGGCTGTTCAGCCTAATAGTCATTTTTAATTAACTTGATATCCTCAGAGCCCTATACAAAACTGAACCTGTGTCGACAGCCATGACGAATTGACTTGTTTTGAGCGTAGAGCGCAAAGAGATGAAAGCAAAACTGAACGGTGACGCCAACCAACGAATTGACTTCATTTGGCGCAGAGCTCTCCGTGTGTCACAGACTGACGGAGAGTTGAGCGAGCAGTCCTGTGCAGAGTTGCGTGACGAAGTCTTAATTTGTGACAGAGTACTGGCTGTTCAGCCTAATAGTCATACTTAATCACCTTTATATCTTCGGAGCTCTATACAAAACTGAACCTGTGTCGACAGCCATGACGAATTGACTTGTTTGAGAGCAGAGCGCAAAGAGGTGAAAGCAAAACTGAACGGTGACGCCAACCAACGAATTGACTTCATTTGGCGCAGAGCTCTCCGTGTGTCACAGACTGACGGAGAGTTGAGCGAGCAGTCCTGTGCAGAGTTGCGTGACGAAGTCTTTATTTGTGACAGAGTACTGGCTGTTCAGCCTAATAGTCATTTTCAATAAACATAATATCTTCAGAGCTCTATACAAAACTGAACCCGTGCGGCAACCACCAGCATTGACTTGTTTTGTACTTATAGCTTTATTCAAATAGGGTCTAACCAAAACGAAGCCATGACGCCAACCAATAAATTGAGCTGTTTCGGCGCAGAGCTATTGACTGCAAGCTTGAAACC